GTAAATGGTTAGATTTTTAATATTTGCAAAAATTAAAATATTTTTTTCTTTCTGAACAATGTAGGAATGAAGTTAAGAAAAATGGAAAAAGTTCTGGAAGTACTGAACAAGTTATTGAGAGCATTCTGTAGTTTTTTCAGGCTTGAACTATTTTTTCAGAGTATTTCTGATCTCAATTTTATCCAATTTTAATTTGACTTTATTCTTAACAGACTCTACATTGTACTTTTTTTCCCCTCTCATTCTCCTTTTAATAATGATGGTGTCACATTGCAAAGGCCTTTATAATTTACAAAGCACACTACCATACTTTATTGCCTCTGACTCTTACAAACAGCTTCAGAGGGAGATATGAAAGTAATTATTATCTTTGTTTTGTAGTTGAAGTAACTGAGACCCAGAGATGTTAACTCAAATGCCCAGTGACATCTAGTAAGCAGCGTGGCTGAGTTTTCCTTTCTTCCTTTCACTCTTTGTCTCTTTTTTTCTCCTTCCTTCCCTTCCTCTTCCTCTTCCTCTTTCTCTAGCACTTGTTATCTTGTGCTTATGCTTTATTTTATTCATTTAATCGAAGAAGATCTATTATGTTCCAGGCACTAGGTTGCTGTAAAATGCACAGCTAAACAAATCATATATAGTTTTGCCCTCATGGAGATTACAGAGAAACTGACAAGATAAACCTTAAACTAGTAAACAAAACAAAACACCTGCCAAATAAATGTACAATTAAAAATTATAGCAGTGCCTGGGTGGCCCAGTCAGTTGAGCATCCAACTCTTGGTTTCTGCTCAGGTCATTATCCCATGGTCATGGGATCAAGCCCCACGTTGGGCTCCATACTGAGCATGAAGCCTGCTTGGGATTCTCTCTCCCTCTCTGCCCCTTTCCCCCACTTGCATGCTCTCTCTCCAAAATAAATTAAAAAAAAATACAGTTAGTGCGAATGAGATGGCTATCTGCTGTAGATTTTGTGATCAGAGAAAGCCTCTCTGGAGAAGCAGAAATAAAGCTGAAATAAAAAGGTTATAGGGAAGTCGGACAAAGAACCAGCCAGATGGAGAAGTAGGCTGGACCTAGCAGTCAGGCTAGGCTAAGTGACGCTATAGTAACAGCCTCAAACTCTTACTGGGTTAAAGCAATGAAGGTTTATTTCTCATTTGTGCTACACGTCCATAACAGGATGGCTGGGGACTCTACTTCATAGCATCCTCAGACCAGAATTTAGACTTACAGAGGCAGAAACTATTTGGGACATTGCCATTCTCCACACAAAGAAGAGGGTATGTGGTAAACCACGCACTCACTCGTAAAGCTCTTACCTGGAATCACATACCACATTTCGTGGACCGGTGCAAGTCACAGGACGACATTTAATGTCAAGAGGGCAGGGATGTGCAGTCTGACTTGTTGTACTTTCCCAGCCTCCTTGCTTGCTAGCGGTAGTGATATGACACTGCATGATGAAGGAAACCTAAGGAGAAGTCTGATGTGAGTAACTCCAGGTCAGTTTTTGTTTTCCTGTTAAGAGACAGGTACAGATGACACAGCTTTCCCCTTCCTCCTGTCTTTTAAAAAATTTTAATGTTTTTTATTTATTTTTGAGGTGGGGGGGCAAAGAGAGAGGGAGACACAGAATCTGAAGCAGGCTCCAGGCTCTGAGCTGTCAGCACAGAGCCCCACACGGGGCTTGAACTCACATGGGACTGGAGCTCACACACTGTGAGCTCCTGACCTGAGCTCACTGAGCCATGGAGGCGCCCCACCCCGTCCCCCAGTCTTAAACTTGGATGCTATTCTCCAGCTAGCCGGTCATTTTGCATAAGAATAACAAACCACACCTTAAAGATAGGGGGCCATCAGGATGAAAGGATCCTGAGGCATTAAAGACCTGATTTGCAGCTGAACTAACGCCAAGAACTGCCTAATTCTGGATTTCTTGTTATGTGGGGGAAAAAACCTGAAACCTCTTTTTAAGCCTCCTAGAACCAGAAGCATTTCTAGCGTATGTGGTTGTAGGAGATGAGCAGATGCTGTGCTTGAAACCCAGAAAGTCACCTTCCTCTGATACGTTTCTAAGACTGGGTCAGCAATGCAGGAACCAAAGGAGGCCTGCCTTGCTTTTTGTAAATGCTGGCTAGTAAAGCAGAGGGAAGAGACATCTCCCGTTCTATTCCTCTCTTCTGGCTTGCTCTGCTCCCTTTCTCCTTGGTACTAATTCTCCACTTGCATGCTTTGTTTTCCCGGTTGCAGTTACCCTCCCTTTAAACTTCCTCTTCTTTAGTGTCTGAAAATGGTTATGTCCATTTAATGTAAATTACCCTAGACATGATTAAATTAGGACAATTGCTCAGAGAGAGCTGAAAAACCAACAGGCTGTTTAGTATTTTATGCCAGGCTGTGGAATTCTTCCCATCTTTTCCCCCAGTCTTCTGGGGGAGATCGCTCCCAGAGTATGCGGGACATTTAGCAACAACTGCCTTAGAAATTCCCCAGCTAGTGCATTGGGACCTTTACATTCTTGATTCCTTGTGGCCTGATTTACATGGGTCCCCAAGTCTTTTCAGACTCTAGAATTGCCCTACGTGAAACCTGCTTGCTAAATAGAGTCTTATCAGTAGAGCACAAAGAAAGATGCAATGAAAATGTTTCACTTTATGGCCATAATTTCTCCAAGGGGTCTCACCCATTCTGAGGAATGACTAAGTGATTAAGGAACTGGTAACCGATTCACGCAGGTGATCATGGGGTTTTTTCCCCAGAAGAAAATCTGCCCCTTGGCATGTGGAATACCCATATTTTCTGTTTATTACTCTTTAACCCACCAGCCTATTCATTTAGGACTGCTATCCATGATTGCTGTCTTCACTCTACGCATTTTAATTTGTTTCTTTTATTATTGTCGCATGAATTGTAGATTGCAAATAAGCAATGTTTTATTTCTCCTGTGCCCTGAGGTGTTCAAACATCTGTTGTGATTCTCCACATAATCTCGTCTTGGTCTTTGAATGAGAACTCATTTTGGTATCTTAAAGCTCGTAGCTTCTGTAAGTTTTTAAAAGCAAATTATGCGGAGCTTTTCTTACCTTCAATTTCTTGAGCCAGTTGTTCATGGGGAGAAAAAAAGGACATAAGGGTACTCCGTAAGCTCTAAATCAGGGATTAGGAAAATTTGCTGTGGGTTCTTGTCATTTGTGTTTTGGCGGACCTGAAAGTGGACTTGAGAGCCCTCCGTACGGCTGCCTGGTGTAACACATGAATCATCTTGCATCATTTGTCTTCCTCTTAATTAACACTGAGGATACTGGGGATCCTTAGCACATAGCCTGTTTGCACTCATTTTTTGTCTTTGAACACCAGAATGCCCAGCACACACTAGGCACTCAAGAAATGTTCATTGGTGGGGCACCTGGGTGGCTCAGTCAGTTAAGCATCCGACTTCAGCTCAGGACATGATCTTGCAGCCCGTGAGTTGAAGCCCCATATCAGGCTCTGTGCTGACAGCTCGGAGCCTGGAGCCTGCTTCCGATTCTGTGTCTCCCTCGCTCTCTGCCCCTCCCCCATTTACACTCTGTCTCTCAAAAATAAGGAGATGTTAAAAAAAAATGTTTTTCTTTTGAGTGAATGAATGAGACAGTTAAAGGTTTTGGAAACCTTATTCCTTTTTTAAATTCCCCACTTAAGAATCTCTCATCAGGCTAGGAATTAAAAGACCTAGTTTCTGGCTTTGTATAGCAGAGCTCAGTACCACAAATGTAAAAGGAAATATTATGAGATGTATGAAGTGCTCCGGGGATGTTTGTTTCTTCTGGAACATAGAAATGTGTTCAGGAAGGGTCTGGAGGTGGATAGCATGAAGGAACAGCATGTCTCTGAAACTTAAGTGGAGATGAACCTATCTTTTAGAGTATTGTTTTCCAAATTTGGCAGTATATTAGAATAAGTAGTCACACATTTAAAAAATATCAGAGTTGGGTGGGGTGTAGACCAGAGAATCAGTACTTTTAAAAATCTTCCCAGTTGATTCCAGCATATAGCCAAATTTGAGCACAGATGGTCCAAAGCTGTGCTTCTCAAGCTCAGATCACCTGGAGATGTTATGACTATGCAGAATCTGATCCACTAGGTCTGAGGTGGGACCTGAAGTTACGCATTCCCAGTAAGTTCCCTGTTATATCACTTTAAATAGCTCATTTCTAACGTGTATATGAAAAAAAAAAATTACATGTCAGGCAGTAAACAAAGGGACATGAAACTAGCATTTATTTAGTATATGCCAGGCACCATGCTGGTAACTTTGATTATATTATCTTGCTAAACTTAAAAACGATCACGTAAGAACATTGTTACCCCTCTTTTAGATAGTAAAAGGTGAAAGATTTATGTGATCTGAAGAGAAACCAGAGTATATTACCCCTATTTTAGAAATGAAGAGATTAAGGTTTAGTGGGCAAGTCATTGCCTCAGTTTGGACAGCTAATTCCTGACGGAACCTATAGGTCAGTGGTAGTTGCTGGAAACCCTCAAATGCTGAGCAAAAGTGTTTAGGACACGGCTTGGTAGGAAACTCTTTATTGGATCGCTTAGGGAAAATATCAGTGTCGCCATGTTTGATTTCACACTCTTGCTTTGTGTAATATATTTAGGCAGGTAAGGAACATGGTATTGGGCAAGCTGCCAGATGGGTTGTACTCCAATGGTATGATATCAGAGATATACGGGCCAAGGTAGAGTAGAATGTGAATAAATACTAATAGCAAAATAGTAGTGATAGTGGAGGATGTCAGAATTCAAACACAAAACACAAATGCTGTGTTTTTCAACTATTGATATCAAAGGATTATTGATTTGAGAGAGAGAAATTGTGTTTTTTCAAAGCATTTGGCTCTGACTCTGATTCTTTCCAATATTCTTCCAAATGAATACTTCAATGAAGAGAGCCCTGCACCTCCATTTTCTTTTTTTTTGTTAAGTGATTTTTTTCCCACTCTCTCTCCTTCCAGGAAGCTGAAAAATGAACTCTTAGAAGCAAAACGCAGAAGTGGGAAGACTCAACAAGAAACCAGCAGAGTGTGTGTCCACTGTCAGAGAAACCTGGGCTTGATATTTGACCGAGGAGACCCGTGCCGGGCCTGCTCACTGCGCGTGTGCAGCGAATGTCGGGTGTCGGGCCTTGATGGTAGCTGGAAGTGCACCATCTGTGCCAGAGTCGCGTGAGTTTCTTGTCTTTGTGTGGAAAGCCAGGTTTGATGACTGAAAGGATCAGAGTGGGGAAAGAAAAACAGAAAAGAGTATTTAAAATTTAGGGATGGAGAGTAGACTGAAAATAGAGCCCAACACAGGCTCAGCAATGCCTTTGTAGAATTCTGGAGGGGAGTGTGTGTGTGTGTGTGTGTGTGTGTGTGTGTGTGCGCACGCGCGTGCATACACAAGCAAAATAGAAAACAGTATTTTTATTTTTTAAAACTATAAAATAGTAAAATTGGAAGCCTCGTAGGACGAGATCTCTTTCTACATCTGAAAACCATGCACAAGCTTTCTTTGCTTATAGCCCCTCTTGGCTCACGTATCTTCTCAGAAGGCACAGGCAGTTGCCCGAAGCCATCCTTAGCTGTACGGCTTGACTGGCAGGATGGGTATGAAATATCCAGCCTGCTTCCCACAGCACATGAGGGACAAAGCTTTTTCTGCATCTATTGAAAGGAGCGTATGGTTTTTTTTTATCCTTTCTCTTATTGATGTGACGTATCACATTGGTTGATTGATTTGTGAATATTGACCCCTTGCCTTGCATCCTAGGAATAAGTCCAGGTTGATTATGGTGAATGATTTCTTTAATGTATTGCTGGATTCAGTTTGCTAGTATTTTGTTGAGGATATTTGCATCTATGCTCATCACAGATATTGGCCTGGAGTTCTCTTTCTTTTTGATTTGTAGTATCTTTATCATATTTTGGTATCAGGGTAATGGTGACCTCATAGACGGAATTTGGAAAGTTTTCATCCTCTACTGTTTTTTAAAATACTTTGAGAAGAATAGATACTAGCACTCCTTAAATGTTTGGTGGATTTCACCTCTGAAGCCATCTGGTCCTGGACTTGTTTCTTGGGAATTTTTTGAGTACTGATTAAATTACAGTTGCTGATAATCTATTCACATTTTTTATTTCTTCATGATTTAGTTTGGGGAAGGTACGTGTTTCTGTGAATTTATCAGTGTTTCCTAAGTTGTCCACTTTGTTGGCATATAATTTTTCGTAGTATTCTCTTAATAATTCTTTTGCATTTCCGTGGTGTTGGTTGTTATTTCTCTTCTTTCATTTCTGACTGTTTATTTGAGTCCTCTCTATTTTGTTTGTTTTTTTCTTTCTTTCCTTTTTTTTTTTTTTTTTTTTGTGAAGCTACCTAGACGTTTATCAATTTTGTTGATGTTTTTCAAAGAACCAGCTTCTGGTTTCATTGATCTGTTCTCTTGTTGTTTTTAGTTCCTATTTCATTTATTCCTGCTCTAATCTTTATTATTTCCTTTCTTCTACTGGTTTGGGGTTTTGTTTGTTCTTTTTCTAGCTCTTTTAGGTGTAATGTTAGATTGTTTATTTGTGATTTTTATTGCTTCACGAGGTATACTTGGATTGCTATAAACTTCCTTCATAGAACAGCTTTTGCGGTTTTGGACCATTGTGTTTGCATTTTTATTTGTCTCCATGTATTTCTTATTTCCACTTTGATTTCTTGGTTGACCCCTTCATTGTTCAGTAGCATGTCATTTTACCTCCATATTTTCGTGGTCTTTCTGTATTTTTTCTTGTGGTTGATTTCTAGTTGCATATTGTTGTGGTCAGTAAAGGTGAATGATAAGTCTTCAGTGTTTTTGAATTTAGGGGACTTGTTTTATGGCATAATATGTGATCTGTTACCATATAGTGTCCTCCTTTGTCTCTTGTTACCGTAGTGTGTCTTGTCCGATTTAAGTATTGCTACCTTGGCTTTCTTTTCCCTTCCATTTGCATGATAAATGCTCTTCTACCCCTTCACTTTCAATCTGCATTTGTTTTTAGGCCTGAAATCTGTCTCTTGTATGACAGATATGTCATATGTCTTTTGAATGGAGCGCTTAGTCCATTTACATTCAAGGTAATTGTTGATAGGTATGTACTTAGTGCCATTTTGTTACCTGTTTTGCAGTTGTTTTGTTGTTCTCTTTTCCTTTATTTTCTACTTTCTTCTCTCACACTTTGCTGGTTTTCTTTAATGATATACTTGGGTTCCTTTCTCTTTATTTTTTGCATATTTGTTACTGGCTTTTGATTTGTGGTTACCACTAGGTTTGTATATAACATTTTATGCATATAGCAGTGTATGTTAAGTTCATGGCTGCTTAAGTTTGAACCCATTCTTTGCCCCCCCCCCATGTTTTAGGTATATATTGTCATACTTTCTATTATTTTGTGATTACTTTGATTGAATTTTATAGATATGCTTAATTTTACTGCTTTTGTGCTTCCTACTTTTCTTACTCCTGCTTATGGTCTTTCTTTTCCACTCAATGAATCTCCCTTAACATTTCTTGTAGGATTGGTTTAATGGTCATGAATTCCTTTGATTTTTGTTTGTCTGGGAAACTATCTTTCCTTCTATTCTGAATGATAGCCTTGCTGGATATAGTATTCTTGGCTGCAGGTTTTTTCTTTCAGAACTTTGACTGTATCAAACTGGCCTGCCAAGTTTCTGCTAAGAAAGAATGAGGTCAGGGGCGCCTGGGTGGCTTAGTCGGTGAAGCGTCTGACTTTCGCTTAGGTCATGATCTCACGGTTCGTGGGTTCAAGCCCCGCGTCGGGCTCTGTGCTGACTGCCAGCTCAGAGCCTGGAGTCTGTTTCGGAGTCTGTGTCTCCCTCTCTCTGACCCTCCCCTGCTCACGCTGTCTCTCTCTCTCTCTCTCCTAGAAATAAATAAAAAATATTAAAAAAAGAAAAAAAAAAGAATGAGGTCAGGGTGCCTAGGTGGCTCTGTCGGTTAAGCGTCTGACTTTGGCTCAGGTCATGATCTCACAGTCCATGCGTTGGGCTCTGTGCTGACAGCTTAAGAGTCTGGAGCCTGCTTTGGATTCTATGTCTCCCTCGCTCTGCACCCCTCCCCCACTTGTGCTCTCTCTTTCTCTCAAAAATAAATAAACATTTAAAATAAAGAAATTGGAAATTTCTCAAATCCAATCAGTATCTTCATGATGATTACCTTAAATTATCTATCAGGCATATTATTTATTTCCCTTTTGTTAAGCTCTCTTGCTATGATTTTGCCCTGTTCTTTAATTTAGGACACATCCCGCTGTCTCCTCATTTTGTCTAACTCTCTGTGTCTGTTTCTATGTGTTAGAAAAGTCAGCTATGTCTCCTGTTCTTGAAAGTAATAGCCTTATGAAGAAGTCCTGTAGTGCCCTGCGGTGCAATGTCCCTTTTTCACCAGATCCTGGTGCTTAAGGGTGTCTCCTGTGTGTTATGTGCACCCGACTGTTGTGGCTGAGCCAAGTTGCCTTTAGTACCCTTGTCTGCAATGGCTCTCTTTGCCTGTTGTGGGCAGGGTTTAGTCTCTCTGGGGTTAGTGGGCCCGTCTGAGGCTGTCTCATGCTTCAGTTGAGTCAGATCTGGCATTTGCCAGATGCAATAGCACTGAACTGCAGTCAGACCAGGTGCCTTCTGCCAGCCCACTGTTGAGTCTGTAGTGGTGTGTGTGGTTATCTTTCCCTCTTCCTGGGGCCGGAGTCACTTTGGAGTTTTACTGGCCTCCGTCAGGGCTGCTTTCACACTGCTAGGTTGGTGGCTCCACTTTGGATGAGCTCTTGTCAAAGCATATCGGAGGGGGCAGGTCCACAGAAGAAGAAGAATGCTAGGGCACAGCACACTGTTAGCAAGTTGGTTCCTGTAGGTGACTGTGAGTCTAGGTTGGGGGTGGAGCAAGAGAGGGAAACGATGCCTACCAGCTCTTTTGTTCTAGGAGAAGTCTCCCAATGATCCCTGCCCCTCCAGCACATGCCGGAGATGAGGAAACAAGTCTACTTCCCATATACCTCAGGTGTTTTTCAATCTGCTGCTTCTCTGCCATATCTCAGTGGAGCTGTTTGTTGTGCTCTTTAAGGATGGGGGCTCAGTTTCCTTTCCCCCTCCTGGCTGTCCCAGAGCCACACCCTCCTTTTTTTAAAGTTCCAGGTGTTAAGCCCCGCTGATTTTAAGAACTCAGAAAATAAGGTCCCTCTGGTTTTCAGAGCCAAATGTTACGGGGTTTTGTCTTCGCCACGCAGGTCCTCCGTGCCTGAGGTGTCTGGTGTGGGGTTCTCCTCCTCCGTGACTTTATCCCAGGGACAGCCCTGTGGGTCCCAACTGCATCTATGCCCCTCCTACCCTCTTCAATGTGTCCTCTTGTCCACATTTAGCTGTGGAAAGTCTGCTCTGCCAGTCTTTGGGTCATCGTCCGGCCATGTACCCTGGTGCGGGTATGATCTAGTTGTATCCGTGGGATGAGGTGAGCTTAGGAAGCCATCTTCCTCAGAATTCCAAAATCTGTATGCATTTTCTAAATGGAGGTGAGCCGTCTACAACTCAGGATGCAAAAATAATGTTAGACATCTTAATTTCACATGAAACCAAATTGTTTCCTTTGGCTATTTCTCCATATGCCTGTTCAGAAAAACGATCAATAATGCACTTTGGTTTCTGGTTGAAAGTAACATGATACATCTGCAAGTCAAGTAATGCAGAAGTCGCCATTTTCAGCTCTGCACACTTCTTAGAAAGTTTGTCTGAGTGTGTTGTAATAGCTTTCTCCAGTTCTGCTTCCCTTAATTTGGTATTTCAGAGTTGGCTATAAAGGCCATTCCAGTATAGTCAGATAACAAGTCACCAAGGAAAGAATAAATTAATGGACGGAATTTTCTGTTTTAGTTTTGCTTCTACACAATTTTGCAGGGGCATTTTGCCCTCCCAGTTCTCAGTGACCAGCCACTAGAAGGCAACAAATCGAATTTAAAAATTAACAGAAGCAAAGAAAGAAATAGAAAAACTTGGATGGGAGACTATCATAGTTTTTTATTGACTCATGTACAAATGGCCTTCTGGGTTTCTTTGATTAGAGTTAGCTTACACAAAAGAACACAAGTAACAAGTATACAGGAGAGTTTCTCAGTTTCAGCATTACTGATATCTTGGTTGATATGATTTG